AAGCTGTTGTCGTTCCATCCTGACGGATGACAGCTGTGACAGCTAAGTGGAATCCCGGAAAATAAAGTGTGGAACTTTGACCAATGAGAGAACAGTTTACTCGCGCGTGACTTGTATTAACAAATTTGGTCCGTTTAGAAACTTTGCCTGTGAAAGCGAACCGCACCAAGAATAAAAAGCAACATTGTAATAATTTGAATCCCTGTTTTGGAACAAAGCAATCGATCGAAGTCTGTGGGAAACACTGAACTACCTAGAAACAATGCACTAAATCCAGTCCAGACACTTTAGAAAGTACATAGCAAACTTGTATCCATATCTTTCTTCTGCTGAACACAGAAGAAGATATTTTGAAGAATGTGGATAACCAAACAGCTGACGGTAGCCATTGACTTCCATACTATGAAAAAATAATATAGAAGTCATTGGCTACCATCAATTGTTTACCCAATTACTTACCAACTGATTACCCATATTCCTCAAAATAGCTTTTTCTGTGTTCAGCAGAACAAAAAAAATCATACAAGTTTGAAACAACTTGAGGGTGAGTAATGATGACAGAATTTTCATTTTTAGGTGAACAATCCATTAAAGTCTATGATATTAGATATTAAAAGAGCTATTCACACATTCTATCATTCTGTTCTCCTTATCTTCCTCCCTGTTCCTGCTACGCTCTCTGTCTTTACTCTGTAGTGCCATCTGCTGTTCGAGAGCCTGCAGGATCTGGTGGACCATGTGAATGACTCACATGTGAAAGCAGAGAAGAATTCAGGATACTGCTGCCACTGGGAGGGCTGCGTGCGCAAGGGAAGAGGATTTAATGCCAGGTCAGAAAACATACATTCAACATACATTCGCATTCAATCGATTTAAAGGGGTCATATGATGCGATTTCAATTTTTCCTTTCTCTTTGGAGTGATACAAGCTCTTGGTGCATAAAGAAGATCTGTAAAGTTGCGAAGACTAAAGTGCTGGTCGCTGAGGGAATACATCAACTTAGTGCTGTGGATCGCCGGATTGGCTTTCACCGTTTTCACCGCTCCTTCGCCGGGACTGCCGTTCTCGACCCCGCCGCCTCAGCTCACTCTTGCCCGGCTTCAGCTCAGGCTAAGCCGGGGCTTTCGCTCATGCTAGGCCGCTGTTTTTTCGTTGTGAAAGCGAAACTACTTTGTTTGGCCTTCCACAAGAGGACGATATCGCTTCGTCATGCCTAGAGCTGATCTGTGCTGGTCGCTGAGGGAATACATCAACTTCCACCGTGGACGAAGCGGAGTTCAGCCCGGGGTCGTCACATGTGGTTGCCGCTCATTCGTCGGATCCGCCGGGCGCGCCGTTCTCGCCGCCTCAGCTCACTCTAGCCGCCTCAGCTCACTCTAGCCAATGCAATGCAACGCAATGCGTAAAAAGACAGTACAAGTCATTATAATCCGTAATTATGTCCCCACTGGATGCAACAAATGCCTCGTTTGTAATGGGTTTTAATGTTTTTGAATCATCGCTCCGGCCGGACACGGCATCAACAGTATGTGAGGGGCGTAACATTTCCGTCTCACGCTTGAGGTATTCGGCCAATCACAACGCACTGAATAGCTGGCCAATCACAGCACACCTCGCTTTTTCAGACCGATGAGCTTTGTAAAAATCGACGCGTTTCAAAAAGGCGGGGCATAGGAAAGAAACAATAATGTACAGTATGTGGAACCTAATGTGTTTTTTTTACTTTAAACCGCATAAACACATTTCATTACACCAAATACACAAAATAATGTTCTTTTTAGCAGCATCATATGACCCCTTTAAGTAACTAAATAAAGTGAGTTTTATTCTTAGAACAAGGAGAATCATTTTTTTTAAGTAGGGTAAGAAAATTGATTCAAGATATATTCTTTAAAAAACAAGTGCAAATGTCTTATACAAATTTGTTTCTGAATTTATATAATTTTAAGTATTTGTTTAGATATTTTTGCTGGAAAATAAGAAAAACAAAAGCTATATAGATATATATATAGGAGAGTAAATGTTACAGTTCCACCCACTCCCAAGATATTGAGAATTGGATGTTTGCTTTTGGATGGTGACATTATATGTTACTAATCCTGATCCATTTGTATAACGCAGGTACAAGATGCTGATTCATATCCGCACACATACCAACGAGAAACCTCATCACTGCCCTACCTGCCACAAGAGTTTCTCACGCCTAGAGAACCTGAAGATACACACCCGCTCACACACAGGTGAGACACACACATTTGCAATATGGACCAGTATGTAAAAAATGCACCAAAAATGCAAACACAGATATGGTACACACATAAAAACCCATTAGCTTACATTTAAATAAGTGCACAATAGGGTTTTCACAATACTGAAATTTCAGAGGTAGATGCCAATACCAGTATAATTTGACGACTTTAATATGCTGCTCAAGACCTCCTTTATTTAAAGATTTACATACTAATGCAAATATTCAAAAATAAAGCAATGTCTTAGCCTTCAGATTTTTTTTGATTCAAGTAAATAGGGCTTCAAATAAGAAGTCAAGCGTGTTAATCAAGTCAAGTATAATGAAGGTTAAGTAACAAGTAATTAATTTTAACATTCAATAGTAAAATAACTATAATAAATACAGACAAATGAACAAATTGCACTATAACAAAGAAAGATACAAATAAAGTAAATGATACTTGATGTTTTTCAGGTATCTAACAGAAGCATCAAATACTCAAGTAAACATTCAGATATTTAAATTATTATTACATATTTTGAATATTTTTGTATATATTTTAGAATTAAATATATTTTTAGATTTATAAATCTATAGTCTACAGTGCTCTTTGTACCAAATTGAGTCTGTAGAATTAAGGCCTGTTCACACCAAGAATGATAACTATAACGATAACTATAATGATTACTATATTAGCATCCACACCAATGGACAATAATGTTCTGTTTATTATAAGCAAGTGCTGCAGTTCTGCATGAGCCACTTTAAATGCTCAAGCTTTAAATGCTTCTCTGGGCCTCTTTGGTCACTACATCCCTAGTGCGCACACAGTCAAAAAAAAAACAGGCTTGTGCCGTCTGGTTGTGACAGTCTGACCTTCTCGACCCCTGCATTTCTCCAGTACAGCCTTTGATTATCTCTTGCTCTTCTGCCCTCTCAGGAGAGAAGCCATACATCTGTCCTTACGAAGGCTGCAACAAGCGCTACTCAAACTCCAGCGACCGCTTCAAACACACGCGCACGCACTACGTCGACAAACCTTACTGCTGCAAAATGGTGGGCTGTCTGAAGCGCTACACTGACCCCAGCTCTCTCCGCAAACACATCAAGGCACACGGCCACGCTGTAGTGCAGGAACGTGCTGCCTTGCCCAGAACCAACAGGCTGGACGGTGCCTCATCGATGGATGGCCGACAGATGGATCGACCTTACCCCGGAGCGGCTCGTTTTGTCCTACCGGGTGCGGCAACAACCTTATTTGGGAATCACGCCTTCGCTGGGCCCCTTAGCAGTCACCCCCTGGATCTGTCCATGCTCAGTCTGCTTTTAGGAGCTGGGCCGGTGCTGTACCCCAACTCTGGTGCTCTTGGGCTTGGAAAGGTGCCTATCCTGCACCCCTTGTTGTTGCCGCCATTCGGTCTCGGTGTGGGTCAAACTGAAAGAGCAGTTGAAGAAGATGGTGATGTTGATGATGAAAATGAAGGCAGGATGGGAGCAGAACGAGGCTCTCACTCATGGGTAATGATCCCTCCGGGCGTGCTGTTCTTGAAACAGATGGCAACCACGTAAAGAGACTCATGGGCCTTGTTCACACTGCACACCAATCTGATTTGGATTTCAAAGCAGATTACGGTGTCATTTTGTGACTGCTGAAATCAGATTGGTTATGTTATGTCCCAAAAAAACTACTTGGAAAAATGATTGTTGAGAGTTTAGATTTTAATTGGATTTTGAACTGTTCACGAATTTGGTGTGAATCCAGTTTGTCTGTTCTCCGTTCACACTACAAAAGCTAAACTGGTTTGAGTCAGGTATGCCAAAAAATGCTTCTTTTGATTCTAAACAAGGCCTTATGGGCCGTTTACACCAATAACTATAATGTTTTAAATGAATCAAATTATATTGTTGGAATCACTTTCAGAATGATCCATTTTTCCAGCTGATAAAAAATTGACAGCCAGTCAGAATCCACCCAACTTTAAAGAGTTTATGTGAACGCTATTATAGTTATCGATATAGTTATCTTTATAGTCATTGTTCATGGTGTGAACGAGCCATTCACTATAGTACTTGCAATTTACAAGGAAGGAAGTGTTGGCTTTTAAGGGAATCATCTGGGAGAGTACAGATACAGAATGTTTAAATAGGCAAAACAAAGTTAATTCAAATACTGACTTTTTGTCAGTACTTCTTGATACAGCGACCAATATTCATGTACCATCTGTGCACAATATCAATCAGTATGTCATGAAAGACGTCAGAATGTATGTAATGTGAATGTGATGTCTGACAAGAAATTCAGAGAAGGTGGTGCTTCATAATTAATAGTATGCCCTTGATTTACATAGTAGTCTCCTGGAGACTATTGACAGTGACCAAACAGAGAACAGGATGTGATATGAAAAGCATACATATGACATTTGACAATGAATTGGCCGGATATGTTCATTTCCTGGTGGTGGATGAGGAGACCCCCCTCCCCCACAATGTAAAGTGCTTTGAGTGCCTAGAAAAGCGCTATATAAATGTAATGAATTATTATTATTATTTATTATAATAATAATAAAAAAATACCTAAAACTCCAATATCAGTAGTTTTAAATGCTACAAGTGAATTCAGGCATTACAGCATTGTAATGTAAGTATGAAAAAGGATATTCATCTTGAGATTACTTTTAAAAGTGCCATTCCGTTTTTGTTGTTAATGTTAAATTAATGTTAAATGAGCATTAGAAAGCAAAGATAAATCTAAAAAAAATATGTTAAAATGAGCATGCATAATTAAAAATCTTTAAAAAAGGTATTGATTTTATTCATTAAAATATAAAAATCTCTTATAACCAATATGGTCAGTATTGTAGTGTCTATAAAACGAACTAGTTGTTGAAGCAGATGTGTGTCTTATTCGCAAATTTTGATACCTATATGTTTCTCACAACCAAGAAGTATACCAATTTGGGACATATAGTTACATACAAAGTTACATTTTAATAATAACTTAGCGAATTCAGCAAAGATGTGCACCCTGATTGCTATAAGTAATCATCAGCTTGTGTTTTCATTATTAGCCATTTAATGGTGCCGCTTTATGTTTTGTACGTTTCGACGACGAGACATTGACTGTGTCAAAACTGTGTCATATGATGACATGAGTCCACTTGGACTCCACTATTTGTTATCCATTATTTAGTTCTATGGCTATCGGATTGGTAAACCTTTATGCATGGCTGACCTTTCTCATTTAAGTGTAAAACCGGAGCCCGGTTTGCACCGGGAACTGCATATCTAATGTTGTAGCTCTGATTTGATATCTGCCATGCATAACGGATAAATGCTAAGACTATGGCCTGTCACGGTCGGCTTGTGTATTGTAATGAACTATATTTGCACAGGATATTTTATTGAATTTTTACCAATACCAAGTGCCTTATATTGTAAGGTTGTTATTGACGAAATATGATGTATGAAATCCATTTGGATGTATATTGTCAGTTTGTGTATGTATATTTTACCAGATTTAGTTCAACAGACTTCTATCATAAATGTTTTTATACATTTTCCTGACGTTGAGGCTAATGCCTCATAAAGTTGAGCTAATGCTAATGTGTCTTATAACACAGGACGTCTGTCAATGTGACCGGAATGAAATTGATGAAATAGAGGACAATGATGCATAAGTCCAATAAAGAGTGCAATGACTAAAGTGTGTACAGTGTGTTTATCTAAAGGAGATTTACAGGCTTTCAAATTTATTTTCAAATTGTTTGGTTAGTATAATATGTGAGGTGTGTACACATCAAGCAGATGATGCCTATTATGCGTTATTAGTATTACAACTCACAAAAATTGTTTAGAATTAAATATGTATGGTATAACTGTGGTCTCTTTGAATACAACCATACAAACTAGCCCACCTCCCCCTCCCCCTCATCTTCAGTAAACACCTGTATGAGGTGGGAGGGGGCGGAGCCATCTATAATTCTACAGCAGCTTTACCTCTCAGGGTTTCAGCTAAAAGGACTATTGATTGCCCTGAATCCAGATGCACACATACCAAGACATGGAGGTGAAACTCTTCAACAGAAATGGATGGAAGAGGTGAGGTCTTTTATGATTTAAGGCATGAAACTATGCTAAAAATAGATATGCAGATATTTTATGGTCATCTGATGTTTTAATAATGCAATGGCGTGGTAAACTGCAACTGCCTGGATATGAAAAAATATGCTGAACTGATCATAACTCATAACTACACTCATTCAGGGACAACTTTACGGTACAGAAACATAAATGTAATCCTCTTTGTTCTGTAAAACTATTATAATTTAAATTTAGAAAATTATTTTAGATATATTTGAATCTTGGTATGAAGCAAAATACTACATTAAAACTGTATTTCAGTTCATTAAAATTCTTGTAGCTCCTGTAGATGGTGCTAAAAAAACAAAAAACAAAGCCTGTAGCCTTCCTTAAATACAAGTCACTTTGGACAAAAGTGTGTAAACGTGTACATTTGATTTAGTTAAATCACATAGCCTAAACTTAAGATGGAACGGGTACAGAATTGTGAAGTCACTAACTAACGTAACTTAACTAAAGCTAATGACAGAGTAACAGTAAATTCAGCTATTTTCAAAGCTTTTTCAGTACAGGAACTTACACGTTATAAAAATTTAGGTGAAATTTCTATCACCTAATAGCTTCATAATGTATAAAGCAGGGACAGATTATGACGCAGCGGTGCCCTGGGCACGGATCGAGCAAAGGCCTCCCTCCGTTGAAACTGTGTTCCTTTTTTATTCGAAATATTACCAAACGTGTTAACTACAGTATATCATGAAATATCTCGATTCTCAAATATGTGTAAGTAAATGCATTTAGCACCTTTATAGATTATGTTAGTTGATCTATAAGCTAATGGGCGATGGGCAAAGTAGCATAATAGTGTAATCTATTAACTAGGGCCTACACATGAAACCCGTCTTTTTACTTAAAGGTGGCATATCATGAAAATCTGACTTTTCCAGGTTTTAAGTGCTATAATCTGGTCCCCGGTGCATCTACCAACCAAGGAAACGTGAAAAAGATTAACCCAGTAACTTTGTTTTGGTAAGCCTTTTTCTGCAAGCGTCTGAGAAAACGAGCTCGTCTGATTTCGCTCCCCTAGTGACGTTGCAAAGGGATCTTATTATAATATTACCGCCCCTTAATCTATAAGTTTCCACCCACGGCTCCGTCATTTTGATTTCGCAAGCGACAAAGGTGTACCAGCTCTAATGCCATGGCGTTTAGTACTCACATGCTGTGACAGCCGCTTTCTGTCCGTGTGCGCTCAGAAAACCATATATCAGAAGTTTAAACTAATATTGTTTAAAACGCATGCTTTCAGCGCGATAAACATGATAATCAGAACCAAAACAGATGTTTTTTAGCAGGTACGAGTTGTAATAGACTTGTTCGGCACACAAATACGTCATAACCATTTATGCCGTGGGGGAAAACAAGCCATTCGAATTAACGCGCGGAGACCTTGTTAGGTGCTTGATCTTTACTTTTTGTGATGATTTCGACTGATTTTTGCTTGGTGCAATGCCGAAAAGTTGCTGTGTGGCATTCTGTACCTCTAATAAAAAACCTGATCTGAAGATGTATATGACTAATAAACAGAATCTCACTCCCTGATATTTTGTGATGTCATAATCTATTAAAACATTTATTTCATATTATTATACACAATCCCGTAATTAGCAATGGTATTACTATAGTAAAAGTATAGGAGGCTAACCAAGTTGTTTTTTTTGGCGTTTTTATTACCAATTGTAGCCTATAACCACAGTTTTACTACAAATACCATGGTTAAATTATGGTTAGTGTAACAAAACATGTTGTTTTTACCATGGTTTCACTATAGTAACCAATAAACATGTTTTTTGGTATTTTATATACATATTTTTATATTATCTTTTTATTTTTACGGCATGTATTTGTGAAAATGATTAGGCAGCCGCAGCACACACCACATAGAATAACGCTGTGCATTTCAAA